TTAAAATGGTACAACGTGCCAAAATTACAAAAGAGCTATTGTCGAATAAAACCTAAGACCTAACCACATGAGAGGATGGTGGGACAGGTGATCAAAGCTTGGTCAAAGAGGTTTGAAGGCATTGTAAGATCAGTGGAAAGATTTAGGTCAAATATCCTTAAGATCCAAGTAGGTATAGATGGAGTTACCAATGGCACAAGTTGGGGGATGAGAAAGAAGCCAGAATCAAAGGAATGTAGAGATCTTGGAGGTTTTTGGGGCTGGAGCAGAAGGGAAGGATTTGAAAGCAAAGATAAGAATGTGTAAATTCTTGGACCAGCATTCCCCATTGCACAATCTCCCCCATTCACATGGTGATCATCTCATGGATTCAGAGCAAGGTTGCCAGATGATGGCTAACAGAAGTGGTTGCATTAACTCTAGTACCCACCAATGGTGAAATGGGATTAGACTTGATCAAACTCACCTCCCTCATATCCATCACACAGCCTTTCATTCAATCAATTCAAAAACAACACAGCACAGAAGGAGACCATTCAGCCCATTGTGCCTGAGCCATTGTGTCCCATTTCACCTTGTCCTTCCCAGCACTTTGCAAGTTTGGCTCATTCACACATTAATCCAATTTCCCTTTTAAAGTTATTACTGAATCTGCTTTCAACACATTCCAGGCAGACCATTCCAGAATATAACAACTTGCTATGTATAAAAAAATTAATTTCACCTCTGTTTTATCTTGCCAATTATCTTAAATCTGTGTATCTTATGGTTTCTTAGCCAACCGCGAGTGGAAGCAACTTTTCCTTATTTACTCTTATCAGAAACCATTGTAATTTTGATCACCTTTATAACATTTCTCAGACAAGGTATAACAAACTCTCCATTTGAAGCAGTTCCTTCATGATCTCTGGGCTGTGGCACTTGCTGGGTTCAGTCAGTTTTTGTTATGTCTTCAGAAAAATTCAATTAAGAAAACATTGCTTGAAGACTTGGCTAAATTAGTGATATGTGAAGACTGAGTCATCGAGTGCCAGGAATACTTGACCCAGTCTGCAACCACAGAGACACTGTTACATGTGGGTTATGAGGGTGGAGAATGCCCACTCAACAACAAAACCTTGCATTTACAGAGTACCTTATCGTCGTAGACCAATCATCGAACAATATTTGATGCTCAGCCACAGGAGATATTAGATCAGGCAACCGAAAAGTTTGATCAGCAAGGTCGGTTTCAAGAAGTTTCCGAAAGGATGCAGAGATTTAAGGAGCAATTCTAGAGTTTTGGGTCCAGGCAGCTGAAGGCCAATTATAGAATGAAGCAAACTAGGGATGGGTAAGAGTGGGGCATGGAAAGTTACACTCTTCATTAACAGCATTAGAGCCCCTTTGATAATAAGAATACAATGCTAATCAATTCATCTGACCCAGGAAGGAAACAATTTAAACTATTCAATCTCATTGCTATGTATATGTAATTCACAGAATCGCAGAATAGTTATGCTGTGGATGGAGGCCAATCAGCCCATTGTGTCTGTGCTAGCTCTTCAAATCAGCATCATTACCTTGTGCCAATCTCAGGCCCTTGTGTGGGAAAAGGAGCAGATTATGGCAAAATGAACAGTGATTGCTTTGCAAAGAGTGAGGCAGCCTCCATTATTTTTAGAGATTTTGAAAAAAAGTTTCTGGCTTCTTTCTCTCAATGATTTTCCCTCTTAATTTACTTTCTGTACCTAACTGCATGTATGTTGGCTCTAATTCACTCTACTTGTTTCTTTGACATCCGTCTGTTTGTTTCTCAATCCTTAAATATAGTTTGGTTAAGAAGATAGACTACTGGTCACCTCATTCACCTAGAGTATCAGACGCCTTCACCATGCCTTTGTCAGCTCACAGTTGCAGAAGGTTACAACACAAATTATATTCCGTAAGAACGAAAGAAGTAGGAGCAGTAGGCCATATGGCCAGTCAGGTCTGTCCAATAAGATCATGGTTGACTTTCTGCCTTGAGGTCAATTTTCTGCATGCTTCCAAATCCCTTGATCCTCTGAGAATGAAAACTATCTAGCTCAGCCTCAAAAACATTCAATGGTCTGATATTATAACCCTCTAAGGGTAGAGAATTCCAAAGATTTGAGTGAAGACAATTCTCCTTATCGGAATCCAAAAGGATCAGCAGGATCTGGAGACTTTTTAAATTATCAGTTCATGGCACTTGGGCATCGCTGGCTGGACTAGCACTCCTTGCCCATTGCTAATTGCCCAGAGGGCAATTAGCGAGTCAACTACATAGCTTTGGGCTCAGTGTGGGCCAAGCCACATAAGGATGCCAGATTTCCTTTCCTGTTAGAACAGTAGTGAACCAGATGAGATTTGACAACGATCAACAATGTTTACATGGCTACAACAGCAGGGTGGCACAGTGGCTCAGTGGTTAGAACTGCAACCTCTCAGCGCCTGGGACCTGGGTTCAATTCCACCCTCAGGTGACTGTCTGCATGGAGTTTGCACATTCTCCCTGTACCTGCGTGGGTTTCCTCTGAGTGCTCCAGCTTCCTCCCACAGTCCAAAGATGTACAGGTTGGTGGATTGTCATGCTAAACTGCCCATAGTGTCCAGGGATATGCAGGCTAGGTGGGTTAGCCATGGGAAATACGGGATAGGGTAGGGGTGTGGTCTGGGTGGGATACAAATCAGATTAGAATAGCTTGATAGTTGTTTATGACATGATGGGCCAAACAGCCCTTTTCTGTGCTATGGATCTCTATGACTCTATGCCACACAATAGCAAGATCTAGCCCATAAACTGGGATGATTTAACATGATGAACCACCTCAAATTGTGGTTCAATTTTACCGAAGGAATGAATGGATAAGGAGCTGCTTCATTTGCAACGACACCAGCATCACAGCAACAATTCCTCTCCAATTCACAGGGAAGCGTCCATTCCACAAGGGACTCAGAAAAACAGTGTGTGTGGCAGCTGTTCTGTTCTATATACTTCAGCCCTAGACCAGTTGTTCTGTACTTGCTACACAGTTTTAGGCAATCTACTGCCAATAAATGACACCTAAATTTACAAAACTCACCTCCCTTCAAGCATCCCACAACCCCAAAAAGAAAAACATTTTAATTCCCACAAGCGGTGATTTATCAGGTATTCTGCTTGGCACTTTGCAGATAGTTGCAGTAAACATTTAAGAAAAAATAGGAAGCCTGGTATTTTTTGTAGCACTTATCACAGCCACAAACTGTTCCAATATGTGTAGTGCACAATGAAGTACCTCTCAATATCATTGTTGGTGTAAAGTAGGAAAAAGTGTGAAGTAGGCGGCCATCCGCACACAGACGGTTCCCATGAACAGCAAGGTGGCAAGGCCAGAACATTTGTCTTAGCATCAGTGGGCGAGAATCTTCTTCAAAATAATGTCCATGTGGTCATTGGCACCGTCCATGAGGCAGGTCAGGCCTTGGTTTAATGGCATCTCTGACAGTGTAGCACTCCCTCAGTCCTGGGGGTGGAATAACCAGCCTGGATAGTGCACTCAAGACTTCAGAGCGAGACTTAAACCCACACCTTCTAACCCAGTGGACAGATTGCTTACAATTGAGCTGATCATGCCATTTTTTTTGTACACTCAGAGGATTGGGCATTACTGACTAGGTCAGCATTTATTGCCCATCTTTAATTGCCTTGGAGAAGGTGGTGGCGTGCTACCTTCTTAAACTGCAGTCCCTGGGGAGTAGAAACCTCCACAGTACTGCTAGGAAGGGACTTCCAGGATTTTGAACCAGGGGCTGTAAAGAAACAGCAATACAGTTCAAAGTCAGGATAGTGTGCAGGTTGAAGGGGTACAGCTCCCATGCAGTTACTACTCTTGTCCTTCTAGATGGTTGAAATTGGGGATTTGAAAGGTGCTGTCAGAGAAACCTGGGCAAGTTATTGCTGTGCATCTTGCAGATAGTACACCCTGCTGTCACTCTTTGTCAGTGATGGAGGCAGTGAATGCTGATGGGGTGCCAATCAATTATGGAGATGAAGGGCAGGGTAATATAAATCAAACCAATTCAGTTCTCCACGCACATCCACACGTACTATCAGCATGGACTACATAATGGCAAAGTGCCCGAAAACAGCCCCCTCCAACCCATTCATATAATTGTGCCAGCTCTAACAGAGTTCATCAACATCACGCATTCAGCAAGCAAACCCAGAAGTGTTTTATTCTACACTGGAGTAGGAGGATAATGGAAGAGCTTACCCATATTTATCCTCCTGCAAAAATTAATGGAAAGAGACTGCTGCTTGCTATGTGTAAATTGGCTGCTGTGTTCACCTACTCTGGGACATCCCAATGATGTGAAAGGTATGACTCGAGTACAGAAGCTCTCAGGAAGGGTCACTTGACCCGAAAAGTTAACTCTGATTTCTTTCCACAAATGCTGCCAGACCTGCTGAGCCTTTCCAGCAATTTCTGTTTTTGACACGAGTACAAGTTTGGTCTTTTTAAATGGGTCACATGACATCTTTCCCTTTCATACCTGAAAGAGTATTGGCTGTAGCATAGCTGGAGGCACTCTCACCTCTCACTCAGAAGGTAGCTTGTTCAAGTCCCATGCCGGGACTTGAATACACTATTTTGGCTGATACCTCACAACAGAATTCTCTGGTATGGATGCAAAAGATGCGACAACAGTATTCTGAAGCACACCGAGACCATTCGTGCCAATGTCCTGAGCCAATATTTATTCATTAGCAAAGATGCCTAAAAAAATTATTATCTGGTCATTACCACATTGTTATTTGTGGGAGCTTGCTGTGTGCAAATTGGTTGTTACTTACCACATTTCCTACACTACAACAGCTACGCTTTGGAGGTAGTTAATTGGCTATAAAGCACTTTGGGACAGTCTACAGGTTTCTTCCCTGTCTCTTCAATTTTATCCGTGTTTATTCAGGGAGAGAAAACAGATTTCATGACTAATAATCATAAGATCCTCACCTCTACTCAACGTAGCACCATTTTCCTTATAGTCAAGAATCTCTGCATCTTTCCTTTCCAAGAGCAACATCAGGTCCCGAGTCTGCCTGTGCAAAGCCTGCATTATATTCAGTAATGGGCAGATCATGTGATGAGATACCTAGAGATGGTACAGGGGGAATGAAAGGGGTTACAATTCAGGTCTACCGTGCTATCTCCATGTAACAGTCAAACATGGTGTAATGATGTCTAGTGCAATATTGCTCAAAATGACTCGAAAACCTGTTACATTCATCATTAACATTAACAGAACTGAAGTACAATAAAGGCTATTCACCCCATTAGATGAGTCTTGGTTCTCTTAGAAGTGTTCCTAGTTAGTCCCATTTCCCTCAACTTTCCCCATCTAACCATAAAAACATTGTCTTGCTCTTGGGATATGGGCATCAGTGACAAGACAACATTTATTATTATCCGAAGTGGCTTCTCAAAAAGGTGGTTGAGAGATACCTTCTTGAACCACTGCAGTCCATACGGTCAAGATATCCCAAAGTACAGTTAGGTAAGGAGTTCCAGAATTTTGAACTAGTGACAATGAAGAATATATTTTTGTTCAATCAACCCTCGGCTTACAAATTCTCTCTGTTCTTTGAAGGGTGATTTGTTTTAAGGTAGGGAGTTTAAAAGGCATTTCTTCATTATGGACCACAATAGTTGGGACATACCAATGTCTCCTCTATGTTTTCTTTGTCAGATATCGGTCAGTTGGTTACACTTTCACCTCTGAGTCAGAGGTTCAGCCATTCCAGAACACGAGCACAAAAATGAAGACCAACGCCTCGGTGCAGCACTAAATGAGCACGGTCAGAAGTACAATCTTTCAAGTAAGACATTTAAGCCCTTTCAAGTGGATAAACAAGATGTCATGGCCACTATTTGGAACAGAAGCAGAGGAGTTCTTTCTGGTGTGTTTGATCCTGACTGCAGGAAGATTATATAGTCATTACATTGCTGTTTGTGGATCCTTAAGTCAATTTGTGAAGAATACACTAAGACAAGAATGGTTTGGCAGAGATTGTTTGTTGTTTACCACTGAGCTTACATCACCACTTGAAACAATTATCCCTCACCCCAGTGCTGACACATAGAATCCCTACAGTGTGGAAGCTGTCCATTCAGCCCATCGAGTCCACAGTGACCCTCCAACAAGCATCCCACCCAGTCCCACACGCCCGATCCTATTCCTGTAACCCTGCATTTTCCTGGACACTACAGGCAATATGGTACGGCCACTTGACCTAACCTGTACATCTCTGGACTGTGGTAGGAAACCAGAGCACCCAGGGGCAGCCGACGCAGACATGAGGAGAATGTGTAAACTCCACACAGTCACCTGAGGATGGAATTGAACCCGAGTGCCTGGCATTGTGAGGCAGCAGTGCTAACCACTGAGTCACTAAGCACATGCCACCTGGACTGGATCTTCTTTACACGTACATCTAAGTATTCTTTTGACAAAACAAATTTGAACAAGACAAAACAAATTTTACAGAGGTTTTACAGACTAGGAAGTTTGAGTTATAAGGTGAGGCTGGATAGGCTGCGATTTTTTCCTCTGCAGCGTAGGAGATTGAGAGATGACAGTATAGAAGTTTATAAAATCATGAGGGGCATAGATAAGGTGAATGGTCTTTTCCTCAGGGCAGGGAAGTCCAAAACTAGAGGGCATAGGTTTAAGGTGAGAGGAAAAAGATTTAAAAGGGACCTGACGGGGAACACAGAGGATGGTGTGTATATGGAATGAGCTGCCAGAGAAAGTGGTTGGGGCGGATACAATTACAACATTTAAAAGATATTGGACAGCTTCATGGATAGGAAAGGTTTAGAGGGGTATGGGCCTAGTGCAGGAAAATAGAACTAGTTCAATTTAGGAAATCTTGTCAACAGAGCTGTGTTGGGCCAAAGGGTCTGTTTCTGTGCTATATAACTCTGTAACTAAATGAAAATAAGCTCGCTTCATATGGGACACTACAACATAACTCAAACTTTCAAAAGAAGCTTAGAGAACATTTAAATTAAAATGTTTTTCTAAGGTTTATCTGCATTTCAGCACCCGCAGTGCCCATTGATTATGAAAATTATACGTAATCACGTACTCTTCTTTAAAACCAAAAAATAATTATCCAAATTAAATTAATTAAAAAAGCCCATTTGGGCAATGTAACTTTAGAGAAAATTAATGGCTATATTGCACCCCAGCCCCTGCAGCGTCCACCTGTCAAACATGCCAGTGGTTACAACATGCTGTCTCTCAAAGGGCACATGGGCACACTTGTGTCACAAGACAGAGACAAGAAGTTGGGAATTACAAACCCTTTCATGGTCCACTACCAGGATCTATTGACAGCTATCTTAGCTACGGTCAGGAGCGGACCAACAAGGTGGCCTCAGACTTGACCCCAACCCTTCTGTGCCAGGCGCGCAAAGATGAGAAGGATGGGACTTAAAAGCAACCAAGAAGACAGTAGCAAGTTTCTTAAGAACCCAAAAGAAAGGAGGTCCAATCTCCCATTATGCACACACATATGGTCAACAGGTTCAACAGCATCACGGTCTCGGTGTGCTTCAGAATACTGTTGTCGCATCTTTTGCATCCATACCAGAGAATTCTGTTGTGAGGTATCAGCCAAAATAGTGTATTCAAGTCCCGGCATGGGACTTGAACAAGCTACCTTCTGAGTGAGAGGTGAGAGTGCCTCCAGCTATGCTACAGCCAATACTCTTTCAGGTATGAAAGGGAAAGATGTCATGTGACCCATTTAAAAAGACCAAACTTGTACTCGTGTCAAAAACAGAAATTGCTGGAAAGGCTCAGCAGGTCTGGCAGCATCTGTGGAAAGAAATCAGAGTTAACTTTTCGGGTCAAGTGACCCTTCCTGAGAGCTTCTGCACTCGAGTCATACCTTTCACATCATTGGGATGTCCCAGAGTAGGTGAACACAGCAGCCAATTTACACATAGCAAGCAGCAGTCTCTTTCCATTAATTTTTGCAGGAGGATAAATATGGGTAAGCTCTTCCATTATCCTCCTACTCCAGTGTAGAATAAAACACTTCTGGGTTTGCTTGCTGAATGCGTGATGTTGATGAACTCTGTTAGAGCTGGCACAATTATATGAATGGGTTGGAGGGGGCTGTTTTCGGGCACTTTGCCATTATGAACCAGCTTAATTTACAATTGTACAGAACTGCTGCATGCAGTCCACCCCATATCCTCTCTTACAGACTCTCACATGGACAGACCTCCACTGGGGTCCGCTACAACCTGGGGGTAGAAAGGCACCTTAGGGAGTGTCCAGGAAGTGAATAAAAGAGAAGAATGTGCAGCGGCAGTCCATACAGTAAACTTCTCTAGCATTGCATGGAAAGACATGGAGGAAATCTGAATGAATCAGCTCAGGATGTGGGGCAAGAGTTCCTGAGGGAGGCTCAGAAACCCAGGGCCAGAGTAAATTTCCTTCTGAGAAGGGCTACATTCAGATGGGATTCATAAAAACAGAGAAAAATAGTAGGAGTAGATCGTTCGGCCCTTCGAGCCTGCTCTGCCATTCATTATAATCAGGACAGATCATCCAACTCAATAGCTGGTTTGTCATCTTTAAAATATTAACTTATGTATTTACGTTTTTGTTTTAAGAATCAAAGTTTCATTGGTGTTGCTATTTAACCAAACTCATCATATCATACCAACAGTCAGTAAGCATCAAGGGAGGTTCATACAATACAAGAGGCATAGGGAAGGCTCAACACAAACAGGATACAACTGTCTACAAAAGGGGCAACCATAATGTACCACTAAAGTTAATAGTCTCTATCAAGAATTCGTTAAGTTTAGCGAGACACTCTGTAATGGCAGACATAAATCCGGTAAGGGAAATGAACTGCATTCTAAACTCAAATGTTTGCAGAGTCCTTAGTGGATTGTAAGAAATCGATCTTATTTATTTTTCGGGTTTTTTGACTGTGGACTCAAATGGGGGGGAACTAAAGCACTTTTAAAAGCCAAAGGATTGTTTGAAAGATTGCTGCACTTTTTAAAAGCAAATAACTTAACACTTATTATGAATACCATGAACACTGCAGTTTGCTCATGTAGTAGTGGAAGTCTGTTTTGCTGATGACTTGGAGCCAAGGGATATGTACAAATAGAGATGTGGCCGGCAACAGGGAGCTGATCGATCTGTTCGCGAATGACCAGTTATCAATGACAAAAGCCTTCTGCTGCCAACAATTACGTGATTGGCTCCCAGCTAGGTGAACAGCTTGAGGGGTGGAAATCTTTTGGGTGACACCATCAGGCAACTGAAGGAGAAGGAGCTGCTTTGGCTTTGCAGTAAAACAGCACTTCAAACCTGATGATAGCTTTTTTATTTCTCATTTTCACTTGCTGTAAGCTGTGACTTTTAATTGATAAGTCAAAGTAAATGTGAACAGTCAGCCTGTGCCTCCTATAAACAAGTGAAAGCATTTGGAGAAGAAAGATGAAGAGACAGCATTCTGATCAGCATGAGGATTATCTCAGCAAGCCCCATGCACAGGGACCACTGACGTGCCTTCTCTGTCTTCCCCTCCATCCACAACACCCATGCTTGTTTGTGTCTGTCTTTTTCTGTATGGAGCAGTGGAGTTTGTAAGGGAGTTAGAGTTTAACTAGTTTGGTATATTCCAATGGTTCACAATTGTTCAACTTGTAGATTGATTGTTTATTACAAATGAATAGATTCTATCATTAGGGGAGGCGATGGCCTTGTGGTATTATCACTGGATTATTAACCCAGAAACTCAGCTAATGTTCTGGGGACCAGGATTCGAATCTTGCCACGGCAGATGGCAGAATTTGAATTCAATAAAAAACCTGGAATTAAGACTCTACTAATGACTACAGAATGATTGATAATCGGCCATCTGGTTCACTAATGTCCTTCAGGGAAGGACATCTGCCATCCTTACCCAGTCTGGCCTACATATGACTCCAGGCTCACCAGCAATGTGGTTGACTCTAAACTGCCCACTGAAATGGCCTAGCAAGCACTCGGTTAATACTGGTTGCTATGAGGTTTCAACTTGGCAGCAACCTAGGCACCGGAAAAGACAATAGCAG